AACATGAGTAACTTCCTAAGAAGTAGTGAATAGTGCATAAGCAATAAAAGTTCTGCATCTTGGCATATTTAATAATATATTTATTGGCTCTTCACACTTGATTGATAACTTGGCTTGCAGAACATTCCAAGTTCTAAATCACTTACTCTCAGCACATTAAAGGTATTGATCCATTTGATTCCAACATCTAGTATAGCTTAATGCCCATTTTATTCTCCTGTGAAATGAGTTTGTTACCAATTGAACTCTCTCCCCAGCTGGGGAGAGACCTGAGGAAGAGGCTCTTGCCCTTCCTCTTGGGGGTTCTTTCTCTGTTTGGTGTGGTAACTTTGAAACGAGACCGAAGCTGAGCATTCAATACCGCAAGGTTTATTCAATGGCCAAAGAATGGATAGGCAGGAACTAAGCTCACAAATCAACTTTCAGCTCTTGAGGCAGCTGAGCAGCTGTTATAAGGGGTCAAGGTAATGAAGGGGAGGAATATTCATAGTTATTTGGGGAACTGGTCAGGCTTTTCAGGGGAACAAAGGTGGCACCTCTTTTCTTTCCTTATTTGGTTATGTCCTACCATTGCCACAGCAGTCGTAAACTGTCATGGTGCCAGTGCGTGTGTTATGTAGCATGGTAACGTATCACAGTGAGCGTGTAATGAGCCGTGGGGTCTATGTCAATTCAAGTCAGACTGCCATGTTGCCGTCCACTGGTTTTAACTGGTTTCAACTATATGTCTCAACCATCTCCTCTCCCCTTTCCTCTCTTTGTGGTTTCCCATAAGCTAAAGGCAACATTTTAGGCTCGTTCTGAGCAGGGCTATGATTAATGTCTTATGGAGCTAGGGGTCAGGGTAATAAGTTGACAACAGTGCCTCTATTTTGCACCCTGGACTCCATCTTATTAAAAAAATATGAAACTGTACTGACCTTGCTGACTTGTCAAAAGGGAGTTATTTGCTGAGAAAGGACTTTCTGAAGGACTGTGCAAAAATATACATTTTCCAGTAGCAACAAGATATCCTTAAGTGAGCTAATGAACTGTAACATAATGTTATGGCACAAAATTGCAGTTCTCTTGCCTGATGTACGTTAAGAGTCAATTATTACAGCATTAGTTTTTGAGAAAAGAAAAGGCTTTATTGTGAGATGGATCTGCAAGGAGACGGGAGGCATAAGCTCTCAGATCTGTCTCCCCAGGTCAGGGTTTGGGGAACAATTTAAGAAGTTGGGGAGAACAGGGTGGTATGTAGAATGCTGACAGGGCAGCTTTCAGTGGAGGCCTTCAAACATTCACGGTAAGGTGTGGAAGGGGCTTCCTAGACAATGAACCTCTCGCTTCTAATAAGAGTCTGACTTTCAAGTTCCAGTCATGGCCCAGTCCTTTGGTTCCATGGAGGGGAGAATCTTTGGTTCTGGGGTCATTTCAGGTCAAGATTTTCTCCTCTGTGCATGCTCTAGCTACAAGACTTGCAAATTTTTGGCTTGCCCCTGAAAAACCTTCGGTTGATAAGATGGGGTCATTCGAACTGGTCCTAGGGGGCCTGTGGTTACAATAACTTTACCTTCCCTAACAAACAACTAGGGTAGCTTTTCTGGGCTCTCCCTTTTGCTAATAAAAACTCCTGACTTTTGCTCCTGAGGGGGAAACTTCTGGCTGCTGCTGGAACTGTATTCCCCAAATTGCAATTCTAAGACCCCAAATAAACACCCCTCCTTTTGTTTGCAGTTGCCTCTTTTTTCTAAGTTGACATATTTGGCATCAGGGACATAAGATTCAAAGCAACTTTCTGCCTGTTTCTGGTGCCACCGTTGGTTTTAAGCAAGGCATCTGTGTGAGCCTCTTGTGCTCTGTTGTCTCCCCAGTGGCCCAGGGCCCAGGTGGTGAGGCATCTTGGTTCCAAACTTCCCACCTTGGGTGAGGTTCCAGCTTTTATTCTGGGTGTCTTTTGAAACCAGTTTAAGGGAATTTCCTTCCTCTTTGGATGAGTACCTACTTGTAGTGGGAAGTGCCTGGTCTAGGGCTGCTGCAGGAATTCAGCCCCCATTTGGGGCTCCTGCTGGAATGATGTTTAAAAATTATGGGCCCTCTGCATATAGATTTTTAGATAAATGGCACTGGTATACCAAGGATGATTTAAAACTTGCTTCGCCCCAGTGGGGCTCATTTGAAATACCTAAATTAGTTTATTTGCATGCATGGTTAGAAAACAAGAGTTCTAAAACTAAGCAAGTGAAAGGAGTGAACTTTTGGATACTTTGGAATTGTAATGGCCATTCTGAGGAAACTTTGTTTCAGGTAAGTCCACCTTAAGGGGCATCCTTAAAAGAGAGGATTCCAAACCTCCCAGAGACAATGGAATGCATTCTTTGATTGGTATACAGAAGCTTCTGAAAGACAAAATGACTTCAGAAACAGCTCTAAAAAGGGTACTTACAGCATGCAAATAAGTGAAAAAAAATCTTTGACAGGTTTTGTGCCACAATGAAACGTTTACTGCAAAGAGAAATATGCTTCTAGAAATTATAGAATGTGTTTTATAGGTTTGCTAATCTACTATAGGATGCTGATAGATGATAGACAGTTCACGATTGCCTGTTTCCTAGTTTTCATTGGAAAGCAAAGATTACAAATAGTTTAAAAAGTTGAAAGAAGACCTGAGAATACAAAATGAACCAAGAGAAAATGTCGGAATACTTAAAGCAATAAACGTAAATTACCTCTATCCAAACTGTGTGCTTGATGCTGAGAACACAGGCAAAGCAGCAGGTGCCCCTGTGAAAAATGAGACGCAACGGAGCTCTCATGAGAGCTTTCTCCTGTGGAAGGATTTACTGTAACTTCTTACTTCTCAAACTATGGCTACAGACTATTGATAAATCAAAATTAACATTTCTTTAAATAGAAAATGTACATGATGCCTACATTTATCAATATAAATAAATGGATAATATATCTTTAATTTTATTTGTAATTCATAGATAAATTTATTGTATGTGTAAACAAAAGAAAATAATCTTATAAAATGAAAAATAGAATGCACATATGGCATATACTAAAAATAAAAAATGTGTCTTTATTAAATTTTTCTCTCAGTTATTTATATGGTCTTATATATGAGGGTATATGCTAGACCATAATGTACACTATATTTCTCGCTGTGGAATGATCCAACATATTTTGAAAGCCACTGCTCTTATAGCACAGTAAATTGAGTGATAGAAAGGTCTATGCAGTTAGATGGAGAGGCCAACACAAGAACCACCATCCCTTCTGTCAAGTGTACACACAATGCCAACTCCTCAAGGCCAGGCTGTACTCACTCTCTGATCGGCTCATACTTTATTTGCCTTGTCTTTTCAGGCTTACAGCCAGGCAGCAATTTTTGTTTAAAAAAACTTTCCCCATTTCTTATAACTACTTGCAAGGCTGAGAATTCTGGTGGTGGCTTCCCAGATCTTTATAGCTCTGCCATCAGTTTAGAAGTTGTTCCATCTTTCGAATCTTTGTTCTGCCTACTCCACTTAGAGCAGCCCTGTTCACAAACAATGTGGGGACCTTGCTGCCTCTGCCTGTTCTATCATCCCCAGTTTGGCAGAGCAAATGAATCTCATACAGTAATTTCCACAAAGCATATGGTTTATTTTAACTGTATTATGTAGAATGAGATTATATACATTTAATGTAATGCATAGGCAATTACGCTATCTTCTGAGAGTAAATCTGTCATTATTCTGTTACAACTGACTTCCATTATTTCTTTTCTAGACAAACTTTGTAAGTTTTTGAAATTAAGAAAACAACTGTACACGAAAAACAGACAAGGAGAATAGGATATATGTTTTCAGTATGAGAAAGAATGAAGATGACAATGTATTTTTGTTAAAGGAAAACAAGAAAGTAATTTTGTCCTAAAATAAAATGATTTTTCTGAAATAAGAAAGAAAAAAGAGGACAAAATCTAAATAGAGAAAATTTTGGGAGGTTTGTGAAAAAAAAAATCTTTAAACAGAAATTTTAATGTGTGGTCAAGCTGGTTAAGAGTAAAATCAATTTATTTCAAAATGAATTTTAGGGGCCTGCCCCGTGGCCAAGTGGTTAAGTTCGCATGCTCCACTTCGGTGTCCCAGGGTTTTGCCGGTTCAAATCCTGGGCACGGACGTGGCACCACTCACCAGGCCATACTGAGGCAGCGTCCCACATGCCACAACTAGAGGGGCCCACAACTAAAAAAATATATATTTACAACTATGTACTGTGGGGCTTTGGGGAGAAAAAGGAAAAATAAAATCTTAAAAAAATAATAATAAATTTTAACATCAAATTACAGTGGTGCAAAATTAGAATTTAGTTTTCCTCTCTATTGAAAGGACAAAGTCTTCTCAGATTATTGTTCTGCTCTTAATAAGAAATTATAAACAAAGTCTCTTTACCTTTAACGTAATCAGCCTAGAAAACAAAGATTCTGTGTTTCGTCTTTAAGTCTTTGATTAAATTGATTTCAGTTTTGAAAAGCTGAGTTTTCTCAATATTAAGTATATTAAATTAGCTGGATTTTACTTAGAACTATGTGACCTTCTGTATTTGCCTTTACAATCTTTTTGTCACTTTCGCAAAATGGATAATTAAGTATTTTTCATAAAAATATGTGATTCTTTTTTATCAAATATTTTAAAACCTTTTTCATATTTTTGACAAACTTTCCAAAAATCAAATTCTAAATAAAGTATTTTTGACCTTAGAGATATTAAATTAATAAGGCTTATTTGATATGTTAAATTAAATGGAAAGCATCATCAAATAAGAACTAATACTAAGCATTCTTTATATCGTGTCTGTATAGGTGTATGTTATAAATGTTTCAGAAATTATCTAAAGTTCCTGAAAATTTGATATATCCTAATATAATGTTATTGATCATAACTCCAATTATTATTTTAAAATATTATATGTCACAAAAACAACATAGTTCCCTTGTCAGTGGCATTATAGTGAATTCTCATCAGATTGTTAATAATGGGCATTTTTAAGTCTTTTGTCATTTACAGACAATTATTTTACACTGATGCTTTGGCAAAACTTGTGCCTATAAAAGTACTTCATTGGGGGCAGCCTGGTGGCACAGTGGTTAAGTTCGCGCATTCCACTTCAGAGGCCTGAGGTTTGCCAGTTTGGATCCTGGGCGAGGGCCTACGCACCATTCGTCACGCCGTGGTGTGGCAGTGTCTTACACAGAATAACTAGAAGGACTTACAACTAGGATATACAACTATGTACTGGAACTTTGGGGAGAAAAAGAAAAAGACGAAGATTGGCAACAGACGTTAGCTCAGGGCCAATAGAAAAGACTTTGACAAGTACTCCAGAACACAGGTTTTTGATAACTTTAGGATCATAACACTGAACTGGCTGGGAATTTCTAAAATCCTAATGGGAAACTGATTGCTTTGACATTTTGTTTTTCATATTCAAAGGAGCTCTTTTTCTCCTCTTCTTTGAGCTCTCTATAACTTACAGCAATTTGGTAAATCGTACCTTTGCAACAAAGGTTGAAGCATTTATCTTTTTCTCACTACCTGATCTCTCCAGAATTATGCAGCTCTTATTAAATATTCTTATTTTTATGACAATATATGTATTTGCATAAATTCAATGAGGATCTGTTCTCTTTATAATAGGATTCCCAAAGCACCTGGCCCCAGCTTCCTTTGATTTGCAGCTGATAAAAGAGGACGTACTTCGGTTTTGCAAAGGCCTAATCAAATCCACAGAGAATGATTGTACTCTGGTAGAACAATCTTTCCACAGCGCGCATTCCAGAGACAAAAACGCCGGACATCATAATATGCAGCCCAGAGCTTTCGTCTGCTGAAAAGACACCTTTAGAAAGACTCCCTCCACTCTCACCGGAAGGTGAGGCACTTATCAGGCACTGTTAACAAACCCTTGCATTGCTAAACTCCAAAAAATACGCTTTTTTTTTTGTAATTGCAGTAACATTGGATTATAACATTATATAGCTTTTGGATGTACGTCATAATATATTTCGAATTCTGTGTAGATTACATCATGTTCACCACCCAAAAACTAATTATAGCCTATCCCCTCACATGTGAGCCTGATCACCCCTTTTGCCCTCCCCCATTCTGCTGTGGTAACCACCAATCCAATCTCCACTGCTATATGTTTGTCATTGTTTTTATCTTCTACTTATGAGTGAGATCATACGGTATTCGACTTTCTCCCTCTGACTTATTTCACTTATCATGATACCGTCAAGGTCCATCCATGTTGTCACAAATGGCCAGATTTCATCATTTCTTACGGCTGAGTAGCATTCCATCGTGTATAAATACCACATCTTCTTTATCCATTCATCCCTTGCTGGGCACCTAGTTTGCTTCCAAGTCTTGCCTGTTGTGATTAATGCTGCAATGAACGTAGGGGTGCGAGTATCTTTATGCCTTTGGGTTTTCAAGTTCTTTGGATAAATACCCAGCAATGGGATAGCTGGATCATATGGTAGATCTACTCTTAATTTTCTGAGGATACGCCATACTGTTTTCCATAGTGGCTGCACCAGTTTGCACTCCCCCCAGCAGTGTACGAGGGTTCCCTTCTCTCCACATCCTCTCCAACACTTGTTGTTTCCTGTCTTGTTAATTATAGCCATTCTGACCGGAGTGAGGTGATACCTCATGGTAGTTTTGATTTGTATTTCCCTGATAGCTAATGATGTTGAGCATCTTTTCACATGCCTGTTGGCCATCCGTATATCTTCTTTGGAGAAATCTCTGTTCAGATCCTTTGCCCATTTTTTAATTGGATTGTTGTTTTTTTTGTTGAGCTGTATGAGTTCTTTGTATATTTTGGATATTAACTCCTTATCTGATATATGGTTTGAAAATATCTTCTCCAAAAAATACTCTAGATTCACGTGTTACATCTAAAGAAAGCGCCAAACCCTGACTAGACCTGCACACCAACTGGCGACCTGAAAGTAGGATTTCCAGGAAGTGAAGCAGGCGATAGCGGAGCAGACAGCTTTCCCAAGATTCTGGACCAGCCCTGTATGTTTTTCATGTCCTTTCTCACTGAATAATTTATTATTCCTTTCGTACTTTAACCTCAATCATCCTATTGGGAGACTGTTTTGTCTGTTCTTCCACGTACAGAAAGCACAAGACATCTATTTGTAATTTGTATCTTCCTACTGGATCTCTTTATAGGAAGTGAAGAATTCCAAGAATGGGTTTATGTTTGGCATCTTAGCCTAGAAAGCATCCCACAGGTCTTTTGGGAGGCTGGACATGAAGGATCGTTGGATTGAAGTATTTGGGTCATTGTTTACCAGCTTGTTTGCCCTGATGACCATGTGAGATGCTCTTCATCGAGATGGATTTAGTGGACCAGAAGGTTTAGAGGAAATCACTGCTGATTCTTTCACAAGACCCCCACCAAGGGACTGGACGGAACCAGAGCAGGTAATCCAGCCATCCGGCCTCAAGAGACTAATGTTGCTCTGTTGATGTTTTCTTCCAGAAAAATCACGAGCAAAAGGAGAAAATGTGAAACAAGTTACAACAGTGCCTCTATTTTGTACGCTGAACTCCATCTTGTTAAAAAAATAAGAAACTGTGCTGACCTTGCTGACTTGCTAAAAGGGACTTATTTGCTGAGAAAGGACTTTCTGAAGGACTGTGCAAAAAATATGCTTTTTCTGGTAGCAACAAGATGTCTCTGAGTAAGCCAACGAACTGTAACACAAATTTATCCTCTAAGTCTAATAAACAACTGAGGTAATTATTCTAGGATCTCCTTTTTGCTAACAAAAACTCCTGACCTTTACTTCTCTGGGGGGCACTTTTCCAGTTGTCACTATAAACTGTGTTCCCTGGGTTGCGATTCTAAGAACCCAAATAAATGCTCTCCTTTTCTTTGCAATTGCCTCTTTCTTCTAAGTTGACACTCCCTTTAATATGAGTCCTGTGGTTTTCTTCATGGATCTTTTAGATCTTTATCTTTGGTTCTATTAAATTTCACACTGCTCTGTCTAAGTGTGGGAGGTTTTTATGTTTTGCTTTATTATGTTCTGTTTATCATTTATTGTCCTAGACACAGAATTTGCTAGTGCTTTTGAGTCAATTCTGACTTCCAGTCCCTGTGGACAGCAGAGCGGAACCCTGCCTGGTCTTTTCTGCACCATCCTCTCACCCTCCGGCGCTACATCAGACAGTGCTCTCCTACTATTCACAGGGTTTCATGGCCAATTTCTTCAGAAGGGGTCAGGTCCTTCTTCCTAGTCTGTATGGTCTGGAAGCTCCACTGAAACCTGTCCACACTGAGTGACTCTGCTCGTATTTGAGATACCGGTGGCATAGCTTTCAGCATCACAGCAACATGCAGCCACCACGGCGTGACAACCAACAGATGGGTGGTGTGGTTCCCTGACGGGGAAATGAACCTTGGCCCCAGTGGTGAGAGTGCTGAGTCTTTCCCACTAGACCCCAGGCTGGTGGACACACAATAGGACCTTTTAATTGGAAGATTCAAGTCTCTTTTCAGCCCTGCAAGATTTTTAAAAATTATTTCTTTGATAATTTCTCCCCTCCAATTTCTATATTATCCATGGAAATCCCATTCACTAGATGTTGTACTTAACAGTTTCATTTATATGAAATTCTAGGAAAAGCGAACCTTTCACAACAGAAGGCAGATCAGTGGCTACCCAGGGCTTCTGGCGGGCAGATGGAATTGGCAATAAGGGGACACGAGGCCACATTTTGAGAGACAAAAATATGCTATATTACCATCATGGTGGTAGTTTCATAAATGTATATGCTTGTCAAAGCTCATCCAAATGTACATGTAAGATTGGAAAATTCTTTTGTATGTACATTATACCTCAAGGAAAATAACTTTAAAAAAGAGCTGAGTCTGAACAGTAATAAGAATAATGAGATCCATAGCAGAACATGTTTGTGAAAATTAAAATTGCAGCATATCCACACAATTGAATATTACTCAGCCATAAATAGGAAAGAAATACTGACACATGCTACTACATGGATTAGCCTTGTTTTCAGTTATGCTCAGTGAAAGAAGCCAGACGCAAAAGGCCACATAGTGTATGATTCAATTTATACGAAATATTCAGAATAAGGAAATTCATAGAGACAGAAAGTGGATTGTGGTTTCCAGGGCCTGGGGGAGAAGAGAATGGAAGTGACTGCTGAAAGGGTGTGGGGTTTCCGCGTGGGGTGATGAAAATGTTCTGGAATTAGTGGTGATGGTTGCGCAATACTGTGAATGTACTAAATCCCACTGAATTGTACACTTTAAAATAGTTAAAATGGTAAATTTTGTGTTATGCATATTTTGCCACAATAAAAAAAGTACACGGGTACTGTTTTTCTGCTTGCAGCACTGTTGGCGTAGCTTATATTAAACCAAACTTTCCACCAAGGAAAACTATTAAAACAGAATAAAATTTAGGAAAAAAAAAGAGCTTTTGAATCCAATCATGAACAATTGGCCAAGGAAGCAGGACACGAGGGGCCCCAGTCCTCGCCTCATGGTACTCATGCCTCTGTGTAATCTCCTCCTCTCGAGTGTAGGCGTGACCTGTGACTTGCTTCTAGCCAGTATATCACAAAGGTGATGGCTGTCCTTCTTTGATTCCATTACATAAGACTGCACCTTCCATCTTGCTGGCAGACTCTCTCTCTTGCCTTCTCAGCTTGTACACTTTTGACGAAGCAAGCAGCCATATTGGAGTAGCCCACAGGGCAAGGAATTGAGGACAGCCTATGGGCAAAATCTGGCTAGGAAGTGAGGCCCTCAGGCCAACAGCCCACAGGGAACTGAATCCTGCCCACAACCACCAAGTGATCTTGGAAGTGGATCTTTCCCTGGTCTAACCTTGAAATGAGATCCTAGCTGTAGCTAACACCTTGATGGCAGTCTTATGAGCAAGCTGGAAGCAAAGGACCCAGCTAGGCCTTGTCTGGATTCCTGACCCTAAGAACCTGTGAAATAATAAATGTGTGTTGTTTTAAGCCTCTAAGTTTATGACAGTTTGTTACACAGCAAGAACACTAATATGAAGAGTTAAGAGCCCAGAGTGAAGGACAATGTATTGGGGTGAGCTGGACCTTCTTTGTCCCCCTTTTCCTCAGGGAATTTTTCAGACTGAGGCTGAGCAGAAAATAGCCACTGAGAGACTTTTCCAGTTGGGAGGCAAAAATGAACATATGGCTAATAAGGCAGACAGGACCTGAGGTACCAAGATCCTCAAGTAAAGGAAACCACAGAGAAGTGAGCCCAACATTCTGCATTCTTTCTTACTGCGTTTGTCCTCAAGGAATTTGCCACAACATAAACTCCTCTGGGTCAAGAGGTCAAGAAATTAAGGAGAAAATAGTTTCTAAGTGGCTACATGATGGAGCAGAGTTTTCACAACCTAGCAGAGCTGGGGGAAATAAAATTACTCTTCTGGATGAGACAAGGAGGAGGGACCCTGGTAAATATTTCAGGTTTTCAGATTAGAACCCTAAAGTGCCAGGCCCCAGATGTGAGGACAGAGAGAGGAAGGACCAGCCCTCAGAAAGCCTGAAATCCCCTTTGAATCATCTTAAACCCTGATTGGACCAAATTTTTTTTGCCCCTAGTCTAACTACTATCTAGAGAGAAATTCAGTCATTTCTGGGAAAGATAAAATCACCCACAGCTGATATAATATTTCATACAAAATGTCTGGCATTCAATCAAAAAATACCAGGCATGGTAGGAGACAGGAAAAATAACTGATTATCAAAAGATAAAACAAGCAATAAAAACAGATGATCTGGAAGATACAGGAAAAGACAGAAAATTTTGTTACAAAATTGGAATCTCATAACTTATATTAAACATTAAACTGCTAAAAATACTTACAACATATAGGATAGACAATTCACATCCAGAACAAAGAGTTGCTATTAATAAAAAATTAATAAGAATATATACTCCAATGGAAAAATGGCAAAGGTCATGAACAGGCAATTCACAAACAAGAAATATAAATAAACAGAACCACAAATTTCACCAATCAATACTCAAATCAGGCGATCTCTGGGAAAATGAGTTCACTTAAAAAATGCAACTAGAGGTCCCAATTGGTATACTTTCTTGAGGTCAATCTAGCCATATAAATCACAAGCCTCCCTAACAACTATAAATGTCCCCTGAGAAAATAATGAGAAAGCTGTGCAAAACTATTTGCGGAAGGATGTTAATCATTGAAAATAATCAAAATGTCCAACAGGATGTGGGTTGAATAAGTTATAGTTATTTATATGGTGGAATATTATGCCATCATTAAAGTAAGCACACACACACCTGTGTGTATGTATGCATTTGCTGACCTTAAACGTTTCCCTGATATTTTATTAGGTGAAGGGATCAAGTAATAAACCTGTGTGTACTGCGAACCATGTGATCCTGATTTTCAATCAAACATAAAATAATGTCTTGCACAACACATATGAACTGTAGTTTCTCCAGGTTTCTACAAGTATGACATGTGATTTTATCTTTTACCTTTTTCATATTTTTTTCATCTTTATGTACTTTATCATTCTTAATAATTTTTTTAATTTTAATTCATTAAAATAATTTTAATTCATTTAATTTCATTTTAATTCATTTAATTCATAGTTTTAATGAATTTTTAATAATGAATATGTACATTTATAATCAGAAAATAATACAAGATGTTTCTTATTTATGAAAAACAGGAAGCAAAGTATTTCCTAAGTTATGACCTTAGGAGAAATAATTGCTATTCCCAGCATAACTGGGAGCAACTCCAGAAGGGAAGGAGAAAGACGTTCTTACTATTAAGCTTGACAAAAGTCCCCAACACAAACTGGACGCCTGATATGAAGTCAGGTCATGGACTCAAGTTTCCAGGAGCGGACAGCAGGTACCCCCACCTGCCGTCCAGGTCACATCTAGGAAAGCACCAAAGGGACTTAGTACATCTCCAGAAGTCAGTCTCTGCTGAATGGAGAGAATCCCCTTTGCAACAGCGGCCCAGAGCCCATCCCACACCTGTTGTCTGAGATTCTCCAAGGATGAGCCTGGGCTTCTGTATTTCTTCAAAGCCACTCAGGAAACCTTTATGATCATTGAGTAGAGGACATAAAGTTCTAAACTGAAGAAGCACGAAAAAATAATCTGTTAACTAATAGAGGAAGGTATTCTTCGAGCTGAAACTCTACACTTGTCAACTGCTTCTGCTCTTCTCACATCACCTCTTCTCCCGCTCTGAGCGGTCTGCATCAGAACGCCAGATGAAACAAACAAAAACATTTATCTGAGAAAAAGAGAACCTTGCTTTTCCTCACTTGAACCCTTATTTTAAACATTGTATTTCCAAAGCATTTGGAAAAATATTTTGAGGCAAATTGTTTGGTTGTGGTTTTATCTTTTTATCTTCCACCCTCTTCCCAAGCCAAGCCATTCACTTAGTTGGGAAAATGAAAGGTTGGGGATAATGGATCATTTGCCTTAATAGTCCATTTGGAAGTGGTGAAAAACAAGAATTACGAGAACCGTCTGTCCTCCTCTCCCTCTGAACCCACTCTGACAGACTTGAAAAGTTAAATGCTCGCCTCCCTCCTTCCTTGCTCCTGGGGTCAAAGGCGTGGACGAGTGGGTGTTCGCTGTGGAGTCCCAGCCATGACGATGGCTCAGCCTCACCTCTGCCACAGGGCACATGAAGCCTTCACCAGGCCCCTCCATCTGCACTTCACACCAGTTCCCATCACAGAGGCAGCAGGGGGAGCATCGCCTCTTTTCTCTCGCAGCCGGGCTGATGTGATGACCAGGGAGTCCCAACAAGAGAAGGAAGAGCGTGAAGG